CTACCATTCGTATTTCTACGATGAAATTACTTGCTCTCTTGGTTATTTTTATTTATCTCTGTAATCGATGCGCTTATAACAATAGATAAATATTAAGGCATACATAGACGAAGTGAAAAAATGTCGGATATTTGTGTTTTCATACAAACTTTTATTCATACATATTTTTAAAGACGGTTCAACATAGTGCGCTTTCTCGTGTATCGTAAAATTTCTTCCTAACAAAAATTGACAACTCACATATTGCCAGTATTACGTCAATATCGTAATTATATCCGCAAATACAGTATTCAAACATTTAAAAATACCAACACATTTCAAATTTACAACTAAAAAGAAACTATTGCACGAGTCACTCAGAAGCCAAAATGATTCACTCCGCTTTTCGACTGTTTCAGTATCAAATCACACGCTTAATCCTTAATTTTTCACAAGTAAAACAAACTTAATCAAATTCATTTTACGAAGTTAGTCACTTTAGCTTCTGAGTAGCTCATATTTGTACAGGGTGTCTCAGCTGATTTTGACATCTTGATTTTCTAATTATTATTACTCATAGCGGAGAATGTTTCAGATGAAATTTAAACGGTGTCGAAGGGGGCATATTCTGGTGTTACTAATTCTTTCACGAGTGGAAAAGTTTCGCTTTCATCTGAAACATATTTCGTTTCGAGTAACAATAGCGAGAAAATCAAGATGTGAAAATCAGCCGAGACACCCCCTGTAATACCGCAACCATTAAGGGGTGAAACCAGTTTAGATGGCTCAAAAAATCGAAATTTTTTTTATTCTATAAATTATTAGTAAAACTATTCAGGAATATGTTCCCAAAGTTTCAAATAAAAATTCCAGTTCGTTCTGATGCTGTGAGCGGTAAAGTAAGCGCCCCTCGGTTCAGTGCCGGAGCGCGCGGCAGGTAAAACAGAGCGGTCACTTAGGTAGTCGGTAATTCACATACCTGGCTCAATACGAATATGCTATTTTTGATATTAAGGTTTGAATACGCGTTTAATGTTTCGTTCGTTAATTATTCCTTACTGTCAGGAGAGCTCTAAACCTCTCACAAAGATCGGAGAATTTGGAGTTTCTTCGTGCGTCTCAATAGATAAATATCGTCTCTCCCAGCTATACAATCTACTAAAACTCTCTAATAGCGCCTTCCGTTACATCGTTTCAATTTTACGTTCACGTTTCAAAAGAAATTACTGAAAACTTCCAGCTTCAAAAAATACAATTTATTTATCAGCACAAGGACAATCATACGCAAATCCATCCATTAACGTCGTTCGCGAGATCAATACACGTCTGGAAGAGGCGACGGATCAACGAGCGTTCGCACGATCTATCAATACGGAAAAGAAAATCGGTGATTTTCGCTAGTGTGCCATTCTGTTGGAGCCGTTTGTGCTCGTTTGTCCCGTTAGCCGATGCTCCCGCAGTCGACAAAGTGTTTTCGACAGCCGCTCGTTCTGTCGCGAGAGCAGTTCGATCTTCTCGCGATTCGAGATCAGTTGCCGCGTCATATCCGCCACAGGATCATCCTCCGGCTTTAAAATCCTCCCTCCTCGGATCCCTTTAATGGAGCCATTATCATCGGCACTTTTGCTCCCTTCGTTTTCCTTCTTATTCGAGATCAGCAAACGTAGAGACTCTATCTCTTCCTCAAGCTGGTCGATTCTCTGCTTGTGCTTTCCTCTCAACTGAAACGAAAAAGATATCGTAAGGGAGGACGTGTGTTTCGGTCAATTTGCGAGTTTACCGTTCGGATCGGTAACGAGGAAATCTATGTAATTCTAGCCCTTTGCACTCGGAGGTGATTTTGCTATAGGAAAGCTTGCAAATCGGATCTTTGAAATATTTTAAAATTAACGTAAAAACAAACCGTACTATTTCATTTAAATCAGAGCTGCTTAACTTCTTCCTCACGAGCAAATTTCCCCTCCCGAGGTTCCTCCACTATGCGACTGAGATGATCTCGCTCGAGTTGAGGACCCGAGGAGTCCTCCCACCGCAACACCCGAAATGTACGAATATTCCTCTAAACATCGATATTCTAACCGTTCTTTGAACACTAACTAGAAGAATCGTATCCGCGACAAATTGAAATATGCAAGGAAATTGATGATTATTTGCCCGACGATCGATCGTGAATCCTCTGAAATTCGTATAAGTTAATTTAAACGGGCGGCAAATTAATTCACGGGGACCCAGTCGTGTATACAGAGAAGCGATAGCAGCTTAAACAGCAAGCAATTTCTCTCGCCTCTTGTATCGTTAATGTGTCATACGGAGTAGGTCAGTTAACGCCGTTAACTACTAACTGAACAGCTGGTGCAACTAGGCGAAACCGAAGCATCGTGTCGATGGACTTTCGTGCAAATTAAGTCGTATAGACTGTCGAAAAGACAACGGATAGTTGAACAAAACATTGCCCGAATAATCGTCTTTTCTTTTGCTCGCTTTGCGATAAGTAGAATGTATTCCACAGGGACTGGAGTTTCAAACTGAACTGCATACAGACGGGAATAATTTTGGTAAAAATGATTTGAGATTCTCGGTGGAGGGCTTTCGTTTGTGCAATACGGGCATACAGTCGAGGACAGAAATATGCGGACACCCTTCAAGGGAGAATGACCTTTTTTAAATGCGACTTGAGCTTTTTGAAAAAGTTGCAAGTAACAGACGCCGCTTGGTTTGTTCGGCCGTACCGACGAGCCGAACAATAACATCGGTATTTTCAATAGACAGCACCTTCTAAAAAGCGAGGTCTTAGCCGGCATGGGCAAATTACTTTACTACACGAAAAATTCGACGACTCTCACACCTGGACACCACATGACCTAAGATCATAAACAGACCTTCAACAAGCAATAGAACAAATGTAAGAACAAATTTCCCACTTTCACACCACCACCAGACACACACCACCTACGACAGTTTTCACACCACCAATCACAACACACGCGTAGTTTATAAAATAGCGAACCCCCACTTTCACACCACCACCAGACACACACCACCTACGACAGTTTTCACACCACCAATCACAACACACGCGTAGTTTATAAAGTAGCGAACACCACACGACACGACGCACAATTTTCCTATCAGTAAGCCTAGACATTTCGCGCTCTGTTCACGTTCATTCATAAATATATAGTTTTAACAGCAAACTGTTGTGCGTTAATAGTCTATCTTCCCGAGTCCCCTATCCCGAGTAGATTCCTTAAATGGTCTGACTCAAAAAGAGGGACAATTATCGGTTTCGCAACAAACATATCGCGATTCGTAACAGAGTAAACAAAATTTTGTAAAAATTGCAATTGGTCGAAATCGCGAGGAAAATAGCGAACTTTTTTATTTAGACGCGTCATCAAAATTTAAGAAAAATACGTTTTATAGATCTATGCCAAGTACATACATTCTGAAAATTTCATCGAAATCGGTTGATGCGGAAGCAAGGGAAAAATGTAAGAATCTCGAAATTCATCACAGTTACAGACCGAAAGTGATGAAAAATTTCACTGTTCGTTGCTCGTAGCAACGTTAACCAATTTCGATGAAATTTTCAGCATGTATACAGCTGACGTAAATCTACAAAACGTATTTTTAAAATTTTCATTACAAGCTCAGAATACAAAAGTTGCATAAAAGCGACCTTCGCTATTTTCTTAGCGATTCCGACCAATCGCAATTTTTTCAAAATTCTTTTCACACGTCATATGCTAAACTAATCCCTCTAACGTCTGTAAAAAGTTCAGGCGAATTTTAGAAAAGTAATTTTTTTTCTTAAAGGTGTCCACATATTTCTGTCTTTGACTGTACATGTGTACGTAGTTCTCTGTAATCAACTTTACGTCCACATTTTGAGAATTTGTGTGCCTCTATCTGCGTGTACTAAAAGTGTATTACGAATAGGATTAGTTTTTTGTATACAGGGTGATCCAGAAACTACGCCGACAAATTTTTCCAACATGTTTGGGAGGTCAGTTTCAGCAACAAATGTTAGCATACACCGTGGATCGATTCGTCTTCCTTTTCGGGATAGAGACAGAAGTACTGATAATATTAGAGATGAATTTCTGTAAATCAGTCTGAACCAGTATAAATCCGTGTAAAACATAGTTTGAAATAAGTGATTATCGTTAGGAGTTAAGTAGTACGAATGCGTCTGACTATTTGTAGGTTGTACTACTTTCCCCTTTCATATCTCGAAAACGAAGACGAATCGGTCCACGATCTATATAACATTTTTTGCTCGAAATGACTTCCCAAACAGGTTGACAAAGTTTGTCGGTTTAGATCTGGAACATATGGACCTTCGGTGCAAAAATAAAGCCTCGAATTAAGGTACTCAGGGTATAAAATATGCAACAACTATTTCACGTTAATTCTTAGAATCTCTAATTAATGAAACCTTTTCAGAATACAGCACGAGAGAGAGAGAATCAGGCAGAATGTCAAATACTCTTTGCATTTCGTGTCTCATATTGTATTACACGCACTGTAATTATTGATCATACGTATGCAACTAAAATTACACGCTTTTGCATCTCCTCTCGTGTGAACTATAAAAAAAAGACGTGCACTTTGTTTCGTATTTTGTAGGTAATACATTTTTACTTATAAATCAAAAAGTACTTTTCATTCCTCTTCTAGCAGAAGAATTTTGGCAATGACTCCTCCATTTTGTACCATTTTCACTTCAATCAAATTCGAGAGAAAAGTCGGAAGTGACATTTACATCCTTCGAAAAAAAATCGAAGCATTTCATCTGGTAGTCTCCTATAAAAAAAATCCCCGAACCTTTCCTTTCTTCGAAACTCATGGAGGTACCAATTGGTAAACATAATGTAACCAGCGAACCTGCTATGCAATCTTCCTTCATCCTTCTCCAGTGATCAAGATAAATATCTTATTTATCTATCTCCAACGAGAATCATCTGGCAGCTTCGATTTACTCGCGGCAAAAATCGAAATCGAACGTATAACACACTTGCCAGCTGAACTCACCGAATCGTTCTCCTTCCTCGATTCATCGAGAAGTGTCCGGGTACACCGTTCTGTCTCGAGATACGCATCACGGGTGTCGACGATTTCCTTTCGAAGTCTGATCACGGTCTCCTCCAGCTCCAATTTGCTCTCGGCCAGCGTAACCGCCTGACTTTGCAAAATGTTATTTTCACCGGCTGCAATGAACGTTCGAAAATAAGACTATTTCCGGCGCTGCCCTCCCCCGGACATCACTTCCATTCGCTGTACAAGAGCTGCTTGTCAAATTTCATTGGAGAAATCTTCCGCCTCGAGGAAGATCCCCGATGCACGCTGCCTCCTCTCGCTGTTTTTTATACTTACCCAGCATCGACATCTGTCTACGCGTATCCTCCAGGGTTTCTCTCAACGTCTCGTTTTCTTCTCTCACCGCGGCGTTACCTCGTTTCACCCCCTCGACATCCTCGCGAGCTGTAAATCAATATTCGAGTAAATAGGATATCTGGTTCATGCTAATGTCAACGTTGCATTTGTCAGTATCGCGTTGCTCTTGCGTAGAAATTAATCAGAGGGAATAATGGCCGTCCGAATGATCGAATTTTGGAAATGGAGTTTTACATCCGAGATTTATGGAAGATCTGTTATCGGAGATATTTTCTTTGGAAGAATTTGCAAAGGACTGTTGTGTATTTTTGCGAAGGTACGAATGTATTGCTGAGAATTCTTAATGTTTGCGCTTGAACAACTTTATGCTTCCCTCCGAGTATTCTCTTTTGCATTGAGTTTTACCAAAGACCTTACACCACACGTGAAGTTCACGGAATTTTTGTATAAATACCTTACGCTTCGAGAGAGCTTGCGGGAAACTTGAATTCGAATGACAAACAGACGTTCTCTAATTTAAACGGTAAATTAAAATCACGCTTACCGATGAATTGAATTTCTCGTTAAATTGCACACAATTCTATTAGCCGTCTGTCAAAGGTGACAAGAATCTCCGCAATTAAAAAGAGAATAATGCAATTTTCAGTCACCGCTTCCTATTATTCCTATGAAATACGTCTAACAAGCATTTCTGTTTGACGTTATAACAATTCCGTTTCGCAGATTTACCACAGATTTGTAGTAATTTTTCAAATTTTACACATTCACTGCTCCAACTATTTATTACCCCTTAATAAGAATATTCACTCTCCTTGAAAAAGAAGAAAATTTAACCGACTGGTTGGCCCTACAAATTCAAAAATAAATTACTCAACACACGTCGAAGTTATTTTCCCTTTCTCGGCCCTTAGTTTCACTCCAAAATATAGAACCTCGACCGAGAGAATCGTGTCTGTTCCTTCACCGATGGAAATTAAAGCTGTCCATTCATAAATCGTTCCCTATCGATTTCCAAATCGATTACCGCACGGTGTACAGCGACAGAAAAATCTCTCATTCGAATTTCCCGCGGGTTGCCTCGACCACGATTACTCCCATACGTACGTTTCAACCGAATCAATGCGATGCATCGATTTGCTTCATCCGAAACAGCAATACACCTGACAAACCGGGGTGCATCTACCAAATCTCAGAGCTATTTAGAATGTAATCGATAAAGTGACTTCCGATCCACAGCGGTCTCTTTCCACTCGAAAGCTATTAAAAGGATCGAATAGAGGGACTCTCCTCTAAGCAGAGAAAATAAAGGAACAGACGAGGATGGCAAGAGGGGAATCGAGACGCTGTCTTCAAAGCGACGACAACTGTTAAAAGGAATACCTAGACAGGAAACCTGCCATTTTCTAGTAGCTCCTTCAGCTCGAGGTTTTCAACCGCCAAAGCATCCGCCCGTTTTTCTTGCGTTGTCAAATTGGCCTGCAGCTCTCGAGTCTCCCGATCGCGATCCCGTTTCGCGGTTTCTGCCTTCGAATTGCTCTCCTCCACCATTCTCAGCGCCGTTTCGACGTCTCTCCCGATACCCTTCGTCAATCTGCTCATCACAGACCATTGAGTCCTCTCGTAAATGGCGTTCTTGCATTCGTCCCTGAAACAATCACGGGCAACGCGCACGTTTACCTAAAAGTCCCTGTTTTATCACTTCGAGGCGCGAAGGACATCGCTTGCGCCGGGAGTTTATGGCGGCTAGGGAGAACTAACGCGTCGCAAGTGGATTATTTATCGATCCTGAGAACTCTTTTCGAACGCTCTCTGTCTTTTAAAGACGAACTTCCCGTTGAAGTGGACGAGTGACTGTAACTCGGAGTTTTAGAATGTCTGTTATGATTTTTCGTTTCAAGCTGTTGTGGAGTTGTTTAATTGTGTAACGTGTAGTTCTACGTTTCTTTTCTTTTCTTTTTTTTTGAGAATTTAGTTTTCTATGGAAATATGAATTAAAATCAACAAAAGTGGAGTGAAGTGAAAATGTTTGTTTTGTGATACGAAACAATACTGCGTCTTTTGAAATGATGTGGACATACGAGGGCTGATGAAAGATAATCGAAAAAATTATTTTAAATTAAAATAGTTCCCTGTAACAGCTGTGCATTTTCGCCAACGCTTTTTGCACTTCTGAACACACTCTTTGTAGGCACTTTTACAAATTGCTTTCAAACCAGCCACCGAATTCTCCTTTGTCCCTAGAATCGTTAGAAAGCGAGTCCTTTTAACGAACGCTTCAGCTTCAGAAGCAGAAACTAAGTCACGAAAACGCCAAGTCACGTGAGTTACTGTCCTTTGCGTGAAATTCAAACTGATCGAATTTGTTAGCAACAAATATATGCATCAATGAAAGTATCTTAGGAATATCGTAAAAATATCTTAAAAGTTTTACATACATAATGAGATACAGAACCGAAAAAATTACCAGTGAATGTATACTAATATATTAACATTTTCATATAAAGATATAATGTTATATCGGTATTTTTATAGTTCGAATTAATAAGGATTACGAAGACATTAGTAGCAGATGAATACCCACAAAACTAGCGCATGCCTAACAACTGATCTACAAATTTCAATTATCCTTATCGATATCTTTTTGCAAGTTTTGATTTTCCAAGAGTAGCGAGTGCACAGCAAACACAGGTAACAAACTAATTCCTCTCAAGAAGCTGAAGAAACTGATAGATTGGTGTTCGACAACTGTCCCTGAACTGTTACTTCTCTTCGTTTACCAAATACCGAGTTACAGAAACACAGTCTAGGTATTCCTTTGATCAAACCTCGTACACAATTCTGTAACAACTGTAAATCGTATAAAAGTTACAATTTACATTTAGCCAAATATTTTTCACTTTTCTTCCAAACTCAGAAAATTTATCATAAATTCTTCACTTCGTCTAAATTATGTTACTACTAGACTTAAGCGTTCTAAGAATTTCTATTATAGTGGCAAATATCAGAAGCATAAAGTGTCACTGACCCATTTTACGTTTACGCTTGCAGTATCGTACGCACCTTTCAGCGACAGCCATGGAAATTAATTTGTTCTCTGGGAATACCCGCTCGATTGCATTTATCGCCTGGATAACAGCCTCGCCAGCTAGCGTGCAACTCTCACAATAACTCATGCTGCTGCCTGCCTGAGAACTCTGAGATACTCTGTCCACAAAGAACACCTCCGACGCCTCACCGTTGCTATTCTTCACCTGTTGACGTGCTGCTATTTTTCGGGAGCTTCCTCCGATCGAATAATAAGGAAATTTCTGCGATCACTGTCGTATTCGCGATTCGCGAGACATTCAAGCCGTTTCTTCCTTTCGTTCTTTCTCCTCCTTCATTTTCTACTACATACAGTTTCTTATCTTTCTTCTCTTTACTCCTTTTGCTTAGATTTTTTTTTTATTATTTTATCGTTTTGATGTGAGAAAAAAATGCAAATTTACCTTAAAATTGCAATTTCAGTTTGCTCACACTTTCTTCCGATAGAGCGAGTATAGGTATAATACCAAATATTGGCTGATTAAATCAATTAGGGAGGAAGAAGAAAAAAGGAAGGGCAGAAAATTAACGAACTTTTAAATCAGCATGTGTGTTACACTTCAAGTTGAGAAACTCTATTATACTAATCGTGCAAAATAATTCTGTGATAATGCTGATAAAAATATTTTAAATTTAATTCTTTTCCCGGCCTTGTATCTAAAAGATGGACCAAAATTATAGGAAATAATGAAGATTCATTCGGATAATTAATTTTATATCGCCCGATGCAGAAATTAAAATTTATTAGAATTTGTTTACAAACCGAATATTTCGAAAAAATCAAACACATTTTCCATATCCGTCAAAGAAACCGTGAAATTCAGATTCGCGATATTAGAGCAGGCGAAATCTGCAAATGCTGAACAGTTCTCGCGTTACTTGTCATATCACGTGTACGTACCTATGTATAACCGAGCATCTGAAATTCTATATTGCCGGGAGTAATTAGTATCTTCACGGAATAAACATGAGGTGATTCTTCGGGGAACCATTTACAAACGTTCGAATCGCGAGCGTACACAAGCTGGACCGCGTTTGGAAGAGAATTTCTTAGGTGAAAAATAGTTGGAGACTTAATTTTCCGAGCGCCATTGAAGCGCTCTGCAATTAGCCTAACTTCGTCTTACAATCGTGTCAACTTCTCCGTATAAAGGCAAGTTTACGAAAGTTGGTTTAAAGTTCTTTCACGGGACTAATCTTTTCATTGATAGTCTTCGCTCGTGTTTTAAACACTTTCGAATCTCTCCTAGATAACAATTTCTTCTCCCTTTCCATCTCTGATCCCTTTAACGTGTGTAATTTTTTCATGTATACTGGATGCTAAGTCAGAAGTAGGAGCATCTAATTGCCTTTGAATATTTATCAGGAAGTGCTACTTTGAGCCGTTCCAAAGCCAAGAATTACCAAATGTATATTTAAAATATTCCTTTCTTCCGTATTCAAGGAATGGAATATGTGTTGAGTTTCTCAACTGGAGGAGTATTAACGCGTTGAATATTACATATCTAGAAACATTATCTCAGCATGCCTTACTCTTATTTGAAACCTTTTCGTTGTTTTATTCGGAAAGAATCTGTTTTTTTTTTTTTTTGAATATTTACTTGACTAACCATGTGACGAGATATCGAATCAGGTAATGTCTTCAGCCGATCCCAAACGAGCCGCAGTAAACTGGCTAACGAAATTTGATTCGATCGACTGACGCAGGTCGCCTCTTTGAAGAAGTCTTCCACAAAAGGGTACTTGTCCATGAATTCCACAATCAAACGAAGGACAAATTGAATTCTGCAATTGTAATGTCTTTACAGTTATTTTAAATCTCGTTATTGTCGATTCAATTTCTTTGTGTGAAATTACTTCGAAAAATAGGATAAAATAGGGGGACAATATCAGGGCGACAATGATTTTTATTTTCTGAGGAATATTTTGATATTTTTGGAATACTGAGGATGTTTGAGGAAAAGATATTATCAAAATCAGGACGACGATGATTTTTACTTTCTGAGGTATATTAGGATATATTTGGAATATTAAGAACGTTCGACGATGATTTTTATTTTCATCGTTTCAACTTTCCTCACGTGTACCGTTTAATTTTCAAACTGTCTCCGACCGATCAATAAGATACAAATACTCCACTGAACGACCCCATCCATACAAGAATATTCAGAATACGCACTTAGCCTTCGCCTCAAAACAGCCTTGGAACGCTAAAACGCGAGCAATGAGTTGTTCAATTGGAAACGGCCTCGCGAACAAACCAAGTGCACAGAACGTTCCGTTGAGTTTCGTCCGTCCCCTTTGACGATACCACGGTCACGAAACATTTGCACGCCTAATTGAATCGCGTGTACGTCGAAGCTTCATCGAAACTGTTTCTTCTCCTTTGCATCCTTTCGCACGCGAAAGGTAGAAGCGAAAGTCAAAAATGAAAGATACATATTTTTATTCTTCGCGGATTGTTCACGAATTTATGCAGATGCTACACGGTGCGATAGAAAAAAAAGAAGAAAAAAAGAGGGAGGGAAAAATAGAGCTAAACAACCTGTCGTAAGCCAGCTCCAGAAGAAGAATATAGAATTCCCCTGCGGTTCCATTGTGCTCCTTCACAATTTCCATGGCATTTACGTCCTTCGCGGTCTTCGTCGGGAATTTCCATGACAGATGTTCGATATCGCCCAGCCAAGAATATATCTCGTTTGAGACACACACACATTCTCTGATATCTCCAATGATTGACGTCACCAGGAACTTGTTCAGTTTCGGCATGCTTCCGTAGCGTTGCGCAACAGTACTTCGCAAAGGTTAAAATCGTAGATCAACGTGAACGCCGTTCAAAGTTACGGAACCGTAACCGACTCGATTGACATCTCGTTTTGTCGACTTAAATCGATCAGTCTGTTCTGCTTTCTTTGGAGTTTGTAGACATCGTTGCTGTTCTGTATACCTTTGTAATCGTTAATAATACATTGATCGTTCGTATGGAGAGGATTCAGGTGGATATTTGAAAAAGATATCGTATTAAAAACTTCGATGATCTTAAAAATATTTGAAAATTTTAGTTTTTAAATACACTGAAATTGTACTACGTCTCTCTTTTACAAAAGAAAGTCTCATATAAATATAAATATATGATCGAAAAAAATTGTACAGAACTATCTAAGAAGAAAATACCAAATCTTGGTATACAAAAAGGTTAATCGTAGAAAATTCATGTTATCTTACCAACTACAGTATATTCTCCACAAGTGTCAGACCGCCAGAAAGCTAAACCTGGCACTCCTAGAGTCAGGGACGACGTTTTCCAGCCTCCCAACCGCCTTTGTAGTTTGACGAACGTAGACAAGGACAGCGAATAAAAGATAAGCATAAAACGTGGGACCAGGCAACCAAGCGATTTAAATATCAACTTTTTTAATTTTACGTTCTTTTATCCCGAAATTTTTCTTAACATATTGATGAGATTTTTCTGATGAAAATGACATAAAACACGACATAATTTGAACAACATTTACTTATTAACACGTTCACTGTCGCGCCAGATTTATAGGTAGCTGTCAT